AGATAATAATGGTCTAAAAACATGAATTTTATACTTAAAACAACCTAGGAAAAAGGTTGAGTTTGTTTCTCATCCATTTGGTTGGGTTTGTTTTCTTTTTGCCTGAGTTAAGAGTAAGTGTGAGCAACAATTATATCACTAGGGACAAGGCAATTGCCAACTCTAGATGTCAGTTTGCATTACATCTGTTAGGACCGAGCGCTATTTATGGCATCATCAGTGGAGCTGGGCTTGTATTAATGCTTTGCTTTCCGCATCAGTCAACAATAGCTTTTCTTCCAGTGGTGCCAGCAAATAACAAAGTTACTTCTCATAAAGGCATTCATATGTCCGTTCTTCCATTCAACGTACAGTGCCCGAGCGCTGTGGTGTCCCAGTTCTATACCAGGCATCAGGAATACTAGCACACCAGGTAGCTTGGGGCCTGGAGATGACACAGGCGTTAAAAACATAATTCAATAGTGCAGTAATGTTACAGAAAAGCATTTACAAAGTGTTACGGTTGTGTCCAGATGGAAGAACAATGAACTCTGCCTGCAAAACCAGGCATGGCTTCCCAGAATGTCAGAGATATGCCTCTGAGCCATGAGCTTTGTTTCTCACAGTTCTGGAGACTGGAAGCCCACCCTCCGAGTACAAGTGGCAGTGTCTTAAGGGCCCTTCCTCTTTAGGTTGCCGACCGCGCCTTCTTGCAGTGGCCTCTCACGTGGTCTTTCCTCCATGTGTGTGGGTACAGAGGAGGCAAGCTCCCTGGTGTCTCTCCTTATAAGGACACTCATCCTGACCTGAGAGCCCCATCCTCATGACCTCCTGTAACCCTCATTACCCCTCAGAGGCCCTCCGTCCATGTACCATCTCACTGGGGGTTTGAGCTTCCACATGTGAATTTAGGAGGGACACACACAGTTCAGTCCATGACAGCCTGACATCCTTCCTCCCAGTCCCATTCCTTGTGGTTTCTGTTCAAATGTCACTTTATTAGAAAATCTCTCTGACCTCCTTATATACAAACAGCTCACAGGATGCATTCCCTCCTTAGCCCCCCCTCATCCTGCTTTTTTCTTCTCTTGGTGGGTTAGCTGTTTATTGTTTGTGTCCCATCCCTGCACCAGAATACAAGAAAGGAAATATGGAAAAATGAAAGCCATTCAGCTTGCTGGCTTGATAGCAGTGTAGTCTGTTTCGTTCACTGCTATACCCAAGGTCCTTGGGGCAGGGCTGGCAGGGGAAGTGCTGGAAAGACATGTGTTGGATGGAAGGAAGGAAGGAAGGAAGGGAGGGAGGGAGGAAGGAAGGGAGGTAGGTAGGTTTGATCACCTGGTTACACCAAATGGCTCACTATAGACATGCTCTTCCATTTTACTGAATCTCTGAGGTATGCATGGGGTACCAAACAGAGCAGAGAATGTATTATGGTCTCATTTTCACTATTCTAGGCAAAATCATATAATTCTGCCAAGAAATGCACTACTGAAGCTTAACATTTTAGGGGATAATTTATTAACTTGTCTTGTCCTTCATGGGAAGCAGGGTCAGTTCTACTTAAATTCTCAATAAGTCAGCTCCTGCAAGTTAAAATGAGGAAGTCGTTTGAATATGTGAAGCCAAATGAGATGTTCAAAGAAGCACATATAAATCCAAATTCTAACTCAAAAATCATCTCTGTGCTCTGGTTACACCCATGTAGAAATTAAATGTGCATATAGACCATGACTGGAAAGGAAAATGGGGAAAATGAAAAGCTTTGTCTTCTTGGATTAGCAAGATTATTCATGATTTGTTTCCTCTTTAATTTGTTTCCTATTAGTATTGTTACAGTAGTGTTTGTGTAACTTAAAAAAGAAATTTCTTGTACTGTGAAAAGTGAAATTTGGCAAATGAAAATGGAATTTAATTAAAGAATGTCTGCTTTCATGTGGGTAAAATTGCCCTGCTTTTTAAATGTGTAAGAATGCTGCCTGAAAGGCAATATGGTGCATCTGTCTTCAAGAAATGGTGTCATTGGGGTTCATTCGGGTACCTTGGTGGTTCAGTTGGTTAAGGGTCTGATTCTTGGTTTTCATCCAATTAATGATCTCAGGGTCATGAGATTGAGCCCTGCTTCCCGCTCTGTGCTGAGCATGGAGCCTGCTTAAGATTTCTCTCTCTCCCTCTCGCTCTCTTCCTCCCCCTACCGAAAGAAAGAAAGAAAGAAAGAAAGAGTGCCTTTGGCCCAGAATCACTTCACTTGAGTGGGCTATGCTGTCAGTGCCTGTTTGGGTATCTATGGTACATCTCAGGATATATATACACTGAACTGGTTTTCTGTGCATAGTATTTTCTTAGTCCAGTGAACAGGAGGAAGCAGAGTCTTTGTCCTCTTTCCAGAAGCCCTTGCCTCCCATTCGTTTTCCACTCTTGAGTAGCAACTTCACAGCTTTGCATCTCTCTCTTCCATCCTATACGTGTTCATAAAGCTTTTACTCTTATTGGGCATTTTTAAGATCATTTATTTCCACCTTCCTTTCTGGAGGATTGGATCTCCAGGATCCCCGTTAGGTGTTCACCATCCTGCACACTTCCTGAGGAAGCCCCTCAGCCTATTGTGGGGCAGTATTAATGGTTGGGAGTTTTGAAGTGTACTGAAACACGATTCTACCTTCTGGAGCTGTACAGAGTAAGTTTCCTCTCTCTTCCATGTGATAGTTCAAGTGGATAAGACTTTTGAGGCTGAATGTCCTTCACATGACATGTTTTACAAACGTTTCCATCTTCTGGTTATCTTGGCAGACACTCTGACACCATCTAGCCTAGACCTGGACATCCAGGCCAGGACACATTGTAGATGTGTTTGGCCTGGTAAGGGGACCACTGAGTCTCAGAGGGACTTCTGTCACTGAAACATGGGTTCGTACACTTCTGCAAGTAAATCAGCTATGCTACTAGCTCATCGGAAATTGACACAAAGGAAAAGTCTTAGGCTTCTTTGGGCAAATAAACTTTGACCAGTGTATTTAATAGATGTGTTTAAAACATTTTAGAATTTTAGGATATTATTAAAAACAAGATTCAAAAGATATCAATTGTTTGAGCTGATGAAGATAATAATGTTAATTTTATCATTCTGGATCTTGAATAAGGTTTGGGGTTTGGTCCTGAATACTAAAATATTCTGGTTTGATTATTACCCTGGGATTTAATATGAGCAGTATTTGAGAAATGCCAACTAGGGAAGTGCCTTGGTGGCTTAGTCACTTAAGCCTCTGACTCTTGCTTTCAGTTCACGTCATGATCTTAGAGTGAAGATCGAGCCCCGTGTCACATAGAGCTCCACATTGGAGTGGAGCCTGCTTAAGATTTTCTCTCTCCTCTCCCTCTATTCCTCCCCTTCCATTTGTGCACTCTCTCTCTCTCTCTCTCTCTCTAAAAATAAAAAGAAAGAAAGAAGAAAATATCCTCTAGGCCCTGCAAGAGGTTATGTGTACTACATTGTTCATATGAAGAGTACTACTTCAAGATTTATACTATTCACAAATTTGGTGAATTTTCAAATTTCCTTTGTAAACTTGGCAAAGGGAAAAGCTACTGAATCAGTAAAATCTGATCAGCTCTCCTTTGTTATTTTTTCTTGCATTGAACACTATCCATTCAGAAATGAGAGCAATTCAGTATTGTTTTTTGTCATTTTTAAGTGCTAAAAAGCCACTTCTTAATAGATAAATTCTGGATAGCAAATAAGGAGATTGGTTGAAATTTCTAAACAACTATAAAATTCTTTCTGGCTAAGACCATAGTGGCCCTCAAATTTTTCTTAATTTGATAACCTAGAGAGCCAATATTGAATATTTGCATGTCAATTATTAATTATTTGCCATCCTACATTTAATATTACCTTTGATTTGCAGAAATTTGCCACGTTCTAATGAGCTTTTAGTTTTGGATGAAGCTGTATTTGGGTATTGCATTATCAACTTTTTTGAAGCCATCTCTATTCTAGTTCATCTTGACTTGAAATTAATATTAGTTATAATTATGGGCACTATAAGAGAGTATTTTCTGATCTGTGTATGGGCAGAAGGAGCAGTAGACCATTTTCAGTGTGACCATATGTCTTTATTTGCCAAGGGGAATGACCGTTGCTCTTGTACAATTAATGGTCATTATTATAAATAAAAACCATTATATTTAATAATTATTAACTATAAATATTAACTCCTTTGTCTCTCAAAGAATCCCGGGTTGGAGTATAAATTATACAAGCACACTGATGTGAAAGGGATTGAAAGTTGATTTCAGCAACCAGTATCCCTGATTAATTTCCTAGATTTATCTGACCTTTAGCACACTTCATCAACGTCTCCAGATTCTTTCTCCCATCCCTAACTCCTGCTGCAATGCAAACACAGCTCCTTGGAGGAACTAAAATCTAGAATACGTATAAGTTAATTAGCCAGTGAAGAGATCTGGGGAATCTTGAAATCTTGTATGAAGTTTTATAGAAGGAAGAAAGGGCTCAAGATAGTGAACAATGCATAGAAGTTAGTTAAACTTGGTATGTGGTCTATGCTAAATAAACATTTGTATCTGGTACTCTGAGATAGAAGTTAACAGTGTGGGTGTGAATGAAGAGGAAGATGAGAGAGGATTTGGAGCTGGGAATGAATATTCATCATACTTGGGTTTGATTCAGTGGAGATTAGGTTGACTGTAATGAAGAGAAATGCCACAGTTGCCCTGTGCTATAGAACCCAGTGTGCCAGGTGTAGAAACATTCAATTCTCAGAAAAGCTGTAAACATAATAGACTATCATATTCGTTCTTGAGATGAGGTTTTGCCATGGTACAGAGATGAAAGCAGGAGGCAGAAGGACAGAAAAAAGAGCTACTCATAGCTTCAAGGATAAGAATATGCTTCATTCACTCTTTTGTGTCTTGGTTCTTGATTTAATTGGAATGTATTTATTTGGTTTATTTTATTTCCTTACTTCACTCACTGGGTTTCTCTTTTCTGTTGTTTTTAGGAGCTGGTGGGGAGTAACCCTCCCCAAAGAAACTGGAAGGGAATAGCAATTGCACTCCTTGTGATTCTGGTCATCTGCTCCTTGATTGTCACCTCAGTCATACTGCTGACACCAGGTACTTATATTTATTCTTGGAAAAGCAAGTCACTAAGGGAGAAAATGCACAGTTTTGCTTTGCAATTTTTTTCTAAGTAACTACCTGTTACCTAATTTATTTTTCCCAGGTTCTGATTCCCATTGTGCCATATGGTTAAGTCATTAATATGTTTCCATGAAAAAAAATCCATTTTGTATGCTTTGAATTCATTGATGTAATTGTTGACTAAGTGTAGAAATGCTCGGTATATATTAAAATTCATAATTACCTATTCATGCTTGACAAGCTTAAAGACAGTGGCATTATAAATATAACAATTCTGTGGATCTCATGGAATTCATGGTTACTATATCAAAGAGGAATTTTAAAAATCATTAAAACAACATACATTGAGTGTGAACTAACAACAGAGGTACTCGAAATAACAAAGAAAGAGTCAGAAATCTTACAGGAAAGAAAAAACACACAAAAATTGTTAGCAAAAACCTACAGCGAAAATGTGTATACACTTGCACCATTGAATGCTTCAAAAATAGGTGCTATAGGACCTTGGAGGATAGAGAGATCCGTTGTGAGGAAATTCAGGAGGAAGTTGAGATGTGAAGTGGGCTGTGATGAAATGTTAGCTTAAGGAGAGAAGATTTTTCCTGTAAGATAACTACATGGCAGTTATAGGAAACTACAATGGCCACATTCTCATTGTCGTATTAGATTCCTAATTGTGTGAACAAAAAAACACACTTCTAACCGCCAGTAAATAGACTATACAGGTATTAAACCTTAAGATGGAAAAATAAGTAGATACATTGAATGGATAGATAGATAGATAGATAGATAGATAGATAGATAGATAGATAAATTTGTTTTACATTTGTACAAAAAGTGCAAGTAAATTATGGATATACATTTAAACAATTTCAAAACTTGAATGAAGAAAAGGGTAATCTGTACTCTGAAACCAAAACTAGATAAGGGTATAACAAGAAATGAAAACTATTACCAATATCCCTTATGAATATAGGTGTATATACTATACATCTATATATACTAACAAACTGAATCCAGCAACATATAAAAAGTATATTACACCATAACCAAATGTTATTTATCCCAGGAAAGAAAATTTGATTTACTGTATGAAAGATCAATATAATACATACATATTAATAGAATAAAGAGGGGAAAGGAACCCACATGATTATCTCAATAGACACAGAGCAGACATTTGCAAAGCCCAAAATCTTTTCATAGCAAAACGCTCAACAAGCTAGTAGAAACTTCCTCAATCTGATAAAAAGCATGTATGAAAAACTCACAGCTACTATCATACTTAATGGTGAAAGATTGAAAGCATTTCCCTAAGATCAGGAACAGACAAGGATACTTAGTCTCCCTGTTTCTATTTCACATTGTATTAGAGATTCTGGCCAAGGCAATGCAAGAGAAAAAAATCCAGATAGGAAAGAAGTAAACTATCTCTTCATAGATAACATGAACTTGTATATAGACAATCTTAAGGAATATACACACACACACACACACACACACACACAGAAACACATATGCAACAAGGGTGGATAATATAGGATCAATATACATCATTTGTATTTCCATACATTAACAATGAACAATCCAAAATCAAATTAATAAAATGTTTCCACCTGCAATAGTTTTGAGACGAATAAAGTACTTAGACTAAATTTAATAGAAGGTGTACAACCTTACCCACAGAAAAAACATAAAACTAATTGAAATAAATTAAAGAAGACCTAAGAAAACAAAAAGATACTCTGTGTTTATGGATTAGAAGATCTGATATTGGTAACATAGCAATACTTCCTGAATATATTTATAGATTCAACTCAGTCTTCATAAAAATCCCAATTCCCCTTTTTGGATAAATAGGCAAGCTGATTCTAAAATTTATATGAAAATACAAGGGGCTCAGAATAGCCAAAACAACCTTGCAAAAGAATGTTGAACTACTTCCTTATTTTAAAACTTACTCTAAAGCTACAGTAATGATGGTACTAGCATAGGTATAATATAGATTAATGGAATAGAACTGAAAGCTCAGAATAAAACCATACATCTATGGCCAATTGATTTTTGACAAAGGCACCAAGATCATGTGATGGGGAAAGAATAGTCTTTTCAACAAATAGTGCTTGCACAACTGAATATCTACATGCAAAAGAGCCAAGTTGGAGCCCTACCTCATGCTTTATACAAAAATCAACTCAATGTGTATCAACAAGCTAATAAAAGAGCTGAAACTATGACATTCTGGAAGAAAACTTAGAGGCATATATTTACAATCTTGGATTAGACAAGCGTCTTAGATATGACACTAAAAGCATAAGCAACCAGAGAGAAACTGGATAAATTGGACATCATCAAACTTAAAAATGTTTGTGCATCAGTGGACAATATCAAGAAAGAGAGACGACAACCCATAGAATGTGAGGAAAAACTTGCAAGACATATGTTGTGAAGATCTAATGTCCAGATTTTATAAATAATTATTGTAACTCAAAGAGAGAAATAATTAAAAACAACCAAAGGATTTCAAAAATATTTATCCAAAGAAATATAAATAGCCCATAAGCATTAAAAAAAGATGCTCAACATCATTTGTCATCAAAGACATGCAAATCAGATTCACAGTATACCACTTTGTACACATTAGGATTGCTATAAAAAGGGGGGAAAATGAAAAATAACATGTATTGGTAAAAATGTGGAAAATGGGAAACTTCAAACATTGTTAATTAGAATGTAAAATTTTGTAGACTCTGTGAAAAACGTTCAGTAGCTCCTCAAAAAGTCATAGAGTTAGCATATGACCGAGTATTCCACTCCCAGGTGTATACCCAAGAAAACAGAAAACATGTTCATACAGAAACTTGCATATGCCTGTCCATAGCACTGTTATTCCTAAGAGCCAAAAAGAAACAACCCAGTTCCTTTCACCCAGTGAATAGATAAATGTGGTATGTGGTATTAATGTGGTATGGCCATACAGTGGAATATTATTCAACTATACAAACGAATGAATCTCTGATATATACTACAACATGGATAAAACTTGAAGTAATTATGCTAAATGCAAGAAGTTAGACCCAAAAGGCCACATATTGTATGATCCCAGAATGGTCAAATCCATAGAGATAGAGTAGAGGTACATTAGTAGTTGCCAAGGTCTGGAGGTGGAGACAGTAAAGAGTGGCTGCTAATAAGTATGAGATTTCTTTTCTTTTTTTAAATGACATTATATTTTTAGAGAAGTTTCAGATTCACAGAAAAACTGAGAGGAAAGCACAGAGATTTCCCATATACTGTCTGTCCCCACACAACGTTGCATAGCCTCCCTGGTTATCAACCTCCCCACGGGTGGTACATTTGATACAACTGATGAGCCTACATGGATACATCAGAATAAGATGGCTTTTGGAAGTGATGAATATTCTGGAATTTGATAGTGGCAGTGGATTCACGACTCTGTTAATGCCTCAAGAACTACTGAATTGTACATGTTAAAAAGCGAAACTTCATAGTAAATGAATTCCATCACACTTTAGCCATTAGTTTGAACGATGGTGGGAAAATTATTAAAAACACTGGTGTAATCTAGGCATACACACACACACACACACACACACACTAAAGTATCATAAAAACGTGCCTAACATTGAAGAGGTTTCGGTGGCAGTTACGACAAAGAGAATGTGGTCCTCTCCCTGGGTGTTCGTTCTTTCTTTTAAAAGATTTTATTTATTTGTTCATGAGATACACAAAGAGAGGCAGAGACAGAGCAGAAGGAGAAGCAGGCTTCACGGGGGGAGCCCAATGTGGGACTCAATCCCAGGACCCCAGGATCATACCCTGAGCCTAAGGCAGATGCTCAACTGCTAAGCCACCCAGGGGTCCCCCTAGGTGTTCTTTCTGAGCATACCAGAGTTGCCTGAGGACCTGGACTTGAGATTCAAGATAGTACATCTGATGGATCAGGGAAAAAAGTGGAATCAGCCACTGAAATCTGAGTAGGGGAAGGGCGAGTAAAGGCAAATACTTTTTCTATTTTGTGATTGGCTGATGGTATTTCGCCTTCACCAGGGATTTCAGCAACCACATTTTTTTTAAAGGTTTTATTTATTTATTCATGAGAGAGAGAGAGAGAGAGAGAGAGAGAGAGAGAGAGAGAGAGAGAGAGAGAGAGAGAGGCAGAGACACAGGCAGAGGGAGAAGCAGGCTCCATGCAGGGAGCCCGATGTGGGACTCAATCCCAGGACTCCAGGATCATGCCCTGGGCCGAAGGCACGCACTAAACCCCTGAGCCGCCCAGGGATCCCCAATTACGTGTTTTTAATTAACGTGGAGACAATCCAGTCTTCCTCAGGATTCCTGCAGTACGTGTTCCTTACCTGTGTTTTCCTTTGAACAGGACTGTGCTTTATATGAGGGAAGGATTACTGAACAGTTGCTTCGGTGGTTGTCCAGCACTGGCTTCGAGGCTTAGAAAGCAACAGTGCTTTAAGTAGTTTGTGGTGGCTCCCACCCTCCCAAAGCACATGTGAGTGTTCGTGCCACCCGGAGTCCCAGGGCTCCTGCGGTGGTTACTTTGGAGTGAAATAAAAGGGCGCCCTGGAGTGCCTCTGTCCCCCAGCAGTCCAGCAGTGAGGCTGCGTGGTAAACGTCCCGGAAGCCTTCCCTCCTTGTGCTCATGCAGCACACACGGAGAGCTGGCCCTCAGCCTTCTCTGCTGCACGGGGAAGCGTGTCCTGGTCTCTCGAGCGCAGCCGCCAACCCCGGGAGTCATTTCCACTGGGCTCCTGTGCAGCAGCGTGCCCTCTGCAGTCGAGTGTCCTCACTGTAAGCCGTCACCTCTTTGAACGCTGGCAGCCAGTTGTCAGGGGCAACAACTACGAGTGGGCGAGTGGGCGAGAGGCACCTGCCAGTGGTGGGGCCCTGGTGAATCCCTGAATTCCAGAAAAGGCTTTGAAGAGCAGGAGTTCTTT